ATCTAACTGTAAAATATGAAATGTGTTCATCATTATTTTGAGAAAATAAATTAATTTATCAGAGAATGTGAAATCTTTTGTGGTATTTATCTATGACATGTAATATGACTGAATTTGGGATCTTTCATATATCGCCAATCATTTAGTTTCTTATGACTGCAAATCTAGGTTTGAAATATGATCCCCTATTGCTTAGGGGCCAATATTTATATATAATTATATAAGCCGATTTATTAATGTAAGTTGGAGAAATTAGAATGGTAATGCATTTTTAAATTTAGAAAAAAGTTTATATAGAGTGAAGGTTCTAAATAATCAAATTAAAATTCACCTCGAAAATTTCACTAGAAGAGATTGTTTTGATGCCCACATATTGTCAAATTGTAAAATCGAGATAACCCAATCACTCTTTTTAAGCAAATAGGTATATCTCAAATCCCACTAAATTAAATTGGTGAGCCCTACGAGCAGAGCATGGGGGCTTATTTGTAGCATAGATTGTTGAAATGGAAGAGTTGAGGCTTTACCGAATTGGATATGTATAGCTTAGGATGAGGAGCAGATGATTTTGATAGAAATGTAATTCTTCACGCTCTTTGTATGTTGTACTTGGGCTTTGACAAGACTTAGCTATATGTAAACAGTCATTGTTGAGGGTTTTTTGTTCTTGCAAAGCACGAGTTTGAGAGTCCTTTGCTTAACATAAAAAGCAAAAAGCCCAACCAATAGTTAGACCTTGTTACCATTGGCAAAGCAAGAGCAAAAAGCCAACAAAGGTAAGCTCGAAAGCCAAGAAGCAAGGGCGCTAACTCGCCTCTAGCGCATCCTTTTTTTTTGTTGGGTCGAAAGCAAAACACAAGGGAGCTAGCGCGCCGCGCTGCTAGCGCATCCGTTTTCTTGCTGGAGTGTGCTAGCATGTTAATATGATCCCCAAAACCAAAGAAATATAACACAAAAGTCTAACAATTCAATATATCAAAGAAATCACAATTTGGGTTTCACAAGTAAGGTTTGAAAAACCGGATGGGCCGGCTGAACAGTCATCACTGGGACCCAATCGAGATGGTGAGTCCCAGAAAAACTTCAAAATTCTAAAAATAAAACTGAGTCCAATCCTAAAAAAATAGATGAATAGATTACATATTTTGATTAAATTCTGAAAAAGGTATGAATATCGAGAATCATGATCCTGTCTAAGAAAACAGTAAAATCTAAACCGTACCTAAGAAAAATACAAGGACAAGAACATAAGTTTAACACACTATTTATAAAAGTTTTGGATTTTCTTAAAATTCTGAAAACCTAAATGGAGAAAATTAATAATAAATACAAATATTATTCCAAAATCAACTAAACACTCGTTAGGAGGGGCTGGAAAAAGAAAAGGAAAAATATTTAACTATTGTTTACAAGACCATTCAGATTTTCTAGAAAAATTTTAGAATACCGAAATCAAGAAAATAAATTAAATAACAATAAATATTATTTGAAAACTATCTAAAACCTTACCCATTACAACTTAGAACCAAAAACCAAAGTATTTCTCTTATTTACAAAAATTATATTATTATTTTTAGAAAATAAAATTAATATAAACATTAGTCAATAATTATCTTAACCCCCCCAAAGACCATAACAAACCAAAAAAAGAAATCGACATAATATTTTAAATTTTTTTATGGATTTTCGCAAAATTTTAAGGAAAATATGGATTAAAAGAAATATTCAAATAAATACAAATGTATTGAAAATTATTTAAACCATACCCATGACAAATATAAACTTTTCAAACACAAAAAATAGAAAAAAGATAAATTATATAAATTGATAAAATCCAACCAAATATTTCATTTCATCAAGATGACCTCTCACTCAAAATCAAAATAAAAAACATTTCAGAAAAAGGTGGAAAAATAGTTAAAAAATAACAAAAATATATCTTATAAATTTTTGTTTTGATTCAAAATTTTCGCTCAGGTTTGGGTAGATCAATATTTTAGGAACATTTTGATACAAGTTTGAACATATGTAGTGAAATTTTGAGTGAAAGGAATCAAAGATTGCAGATATCGGTTTAGAAAAGGCCCTAATAATTCCACTCTAGATCGCTTGAAAATGCATTTTGTTCCAAAAATAGATGTTTTAGAGGAATAAAAAAGGATTAATTTCGAACAAATTTCAGAGGCTTAGTTGTAATAATCAACGAGAAAATCGATAGAAAAGTGGATTGCATTTAAATAAAGGACCTGGTTTCTATGCAGCCAAGCTTGCATATGTAGAAATTTGAGCCTCTTAATAAATCTATTTTTGAGATGGATTTTTTGACTTAATTTTTAAAGACATATAATCTCTAATATGAACATGAAGATGAAGAAATAAATAAATTTTAAGGACTAAAAATAATAATTCTAGTAAAAAAACATTTTGACCGTTAGTTTCCATTATTTTTAGATGGAACACGTACTTGCATCGATCTTTAAGAAGGATGTTTTACACTTTTTGGATCGCATATGTAGTCCGTAGTGAAACAAATTTCCTTCAAAAAATGGTGAAAGAAGAGAAATTGGTTTTTAACCTTAAAGTATCATAAATTTTAAGGGATTATATATAATGAGACCAATTATTTTTGATATAGGGAGGTCACAATTACTTGCAACCATCCGATGTGAAATCCAATAGCTTGGATGTGTCACAAAGTTTAAAAAAAAATAATTGAACTTCTAAACTTAGCCGATGAAATAAAATGAATAGTTACCTAATTTCACATCCAACACCTTAAAAATGGTAGGTGGGTGCAATTTAGCAGAGAGCTAAGGGAGAAATAAAAAAGTCGGTCATCAAGAAATTCGCCACACACACTACGTACCCTCATCCTCATTGCTGTCGCTGGGGACCTCCAAAACAATGAAAACTCAGACGACGCACTGCACACTCGTATCAATGCCCTCCCCTCCCCTCCCCTCCCCTCGGTGCTTTTCATTATACAGCAAAACCATATATCAAATCAGCTGTCTCTCATCCTAATACAAATATGCGCTGCCTTCTCCTCTCCCTCCTAACCTCCACAGTGCAAATGCGTTGCCACCAAGGCTTGTTTGCCGAAGCTTCAATCGCGAGTGAAGAGCCATTCCGAGTAGCATACGAGAGAATTCGTGTGAGAAAGTTTTTGGTGGAGAGGTACAAACATAAACATAGTGGGGAGCTCACACTTGCGCAGGCGTCGGACTTCGGAGAAGAAGAAGAAGAAGAGGAAAGCAACGACGGTTGGGCTAAGTTGCTAAGAGAAGGGGTGGTGGCTCTGTTGTGCTCATATGGTGGGCACGGCTTCCCCCTTCAGCCATTTGCTTGTCTGCTCTGGTCACGGAGGAGGTTGCCTCAGCACAAGCACTTGGTTTCTCTAACATCACCACTACTTAGTTTGCTCCCCTCCTCCTCATATTATCCTTTGTTTGATGCTTCAACTTTTGCACGCACCACCGGCTGAGAGACAATTAATCTCTCAGTTTTTCCTTTTTTTTTGGCTGCCTCAAAACCACTTGTGAAAGAGTGATTAAAAGGTGAACCTGTTGCGATCTGGGCTCTCGGCTTAGTGGTTAGGATCATTTAATCCATAGGTTGTTGTTTTTCCTTCGGTAAAGCTGAATTTGGTGTTCTTGAGAGACGAGGTAAAGAGAAAAAGGAATTTGTGCAGTCCCGGAAAATCACTCCAACTAAAAACACATCAAAATTTCTATGGTATGGTCCTGTGAGAGCCATAGCTCAAGCGACCTTTCACTGCACAGAGAAGCACCTGATATTGGGCTCAGCTATTTGAGTTCCCATAAATCATTGTTCTACGTTTTACCGTCTCAAGCCCTGTTTGATTGCCAAAGTTGTGGTGAGAAGAGAGCCCCTATTTGAGTTCCCATAAATCATTGTTCTATGTTTTACCGTCTCAAGCCCTGTTTGATTGCCAAAGTTGTGGTGAGAAGAGAGCCATAAAATGGAGGTGCGAAAAAATTGCAATTAGCTAGGTTTTTTATACTCTAAAATGAATCATGGGAATTTGTTCAACTGTACTTTCTCATAAAATGAATCATGAGAATTGTTCGACTGTACTATCGCATAAAGTACATTAACGGTATCTAAGGTAGCAATAGGCCACGTAGCCAACAACTACAACCTGATGGCAGGGTCGGGTCTTTCCTCGGCCAGGAATTTTTGGCCTGGTCATGCTGAGCCTGGGCTTGGGCCTGGGCCAGCCCTATGGGGAGTAGGGCTCGTCCCAGCCAGCCAGGCACATCCCATTGCAACCCCTAACGATGTCCATTCCAAATGGACGACGAACCCTCTAATTGTTGAGAACGTAATGTACATATTTATTCCCATAGTTTAGAGAAAGGAAATAAATAGGACTACCACAAGGGACTGCGCCATTCTTCAGTTTTATAATCAGGGTAGAAATTGTGGATGCCAATCATGCAATTATGCATAACGTTATTTTCTTGCAAGAAAAAATCCTTTATTTTCAACCAAATGCGAGATCCATTCCCTTTTTTATAGATTTCCATATTTCTTAAATTTTTTTACCTATAGTTCGTATTTTTCTTAAATGGTTTTTCTGATTTTTTAAGTCTCTCCTCATTTTACACTTCATTTTGACCGTGTTTAGCCCTTCTTTTTAATTCTTTTCAAATAGTCAATTTTCAAAGTTTAAGTACATTTACAGCTTTTTTTTCCTTTTTTTTTTTGTTAATTTAATACCCCATGACGATATCAGCAGCGCCCTTTAGTTTTTCAATCATGGAAACCGGCCATGTCCCAATGACTTTACGAAGAACTACAGCACTTCAAATTTTTCTTATTTTTTTGGGCACCAATTATGTTTGCCTTAAACATGGTGATATTTGTCATACTCTCTTTCTAGACAACAAATTACAATAAAATCCCACAAAAGACTACTAGTAAAATTCCCGAATCAACTCTGCTGCTTTTAATCAGTTCAATAAAGTAGAAAGGTGATCCTGAAACCAAAACAAATGATCATTTTCGCTTCTTGGATCTCCCAGTTTCAGTTTGCTTCTTGGGCGGATCACCTGGCTCGTCTTCAGAGGAACCTTCAAGAGGTTCATCTGGAACATCCATGGGGGCATTGTTTTTGGTGATGTGATCCTTGAGAATACGCATGCACTCTTCTTTCATGGCAGCCAGTTGATCAGAAAGCAACCCATCTGAGACACATACATTGAACTTTTCCACACCAAGGCAAAGCGTGGCCTTAACATTGAGTTTCGGTAGAAACCCAGCTTCACATGTTTGTCCCTCCATTTCTATATTCATCCAAAGGACCTAAATGAATTCAACCAAAAAAACCAATCAACCAATGGATCAATTTTATTTGAGATGAAAGTGAAACAACTACTGAACAACTAATTTACAACTGGCACAGCCAGATTCGATCAAAAAGCTAATAGCTTGCTATTGCAATACACAACCCCATAAAAAAGGTAACAATTTTTCCTATCAGGAGAGATTTTCCACTAAAATTAGAATCAAGATGACAAATTCACCTTCTTGACAGAGAAATTCCTATTAATACAAGACGCTATAGTCCTTAAACCTGGAAGTGTTTCATCATTCACCTGCCATTGAAGGCCTTGAGATCTAGGATGTTTGCTCTGAACATAACCTCCATATTAGATAAGCTCAACTGGTGTGGTATGCGAATGCTACCATAACAGTAGCACTAATGGAAAAAGAATGCCATAAAAGGTAAGGATTGGAATATAAAAGCTATTCCAAATAAAATCTCAATATTGGAGAAGCTCAGCCTCTCTAATAGAATGACATAAAAGCCCTGAGATCATTGAAGGCTCCAGAAGCTAGCAGCTAAAGCATGTCTAGCCAGTTCATGTGAAACTAACATACGGTACTTCTCATGTTCAACCAGACCAGGTAAGTTGTAGAGATGCCCCCTTACCTCTTAGGATACATAGACATTTGTTGCTGTGATACCTTAGAAGGCAGCTAGTGTGTTTTTTCTTACTTTAAGTACAACCATCTTGAAAGTTCAATGGAAGAATCTTCTATTATCAAATTTAACTGTTTTGATGATTGTCTCGAGGATCAAATATGTCCAGAAGCAAAACACGGACTACTGCAATAATTATGCCACCAGGTTTATCATTTGCAGGACATCTGAAAAATGAAAATTAACAGTGACAGCTCCCAAAGCCTCTATAAAAACCCACTTTAGGAAAGCAGTTGGAGAGAGTTCATGGAGAGCAGTGAAACAACCATAGGTAAAAGCCAAAGAAAAGGTATTGGAAAGAAAGGTTCTTACCAACTCCCATAAAAAGTTGAGGTTTCATATGGCTTAAGCCCATTTCTATGGACTTAAAACTAAATAGGATAGAGTTCCATACTTGAAACAAAATTTATCAAACCCACATGACAAACAATATCGGAGGACAAGGTTGTATAACTTTTTTTTTGGGTAAGTAACAAGGCTGTGTAACTTGAAAGTGGACAAATGCAAGGTCAGAAATGGCTCAAATTACAACAAGCTCCTTTCTATTGAAGGAATGACAAAAGAAAATAAGTCAGAACTCAGAACACGTGTGATCCATCAAAAAGGCTTCTTTGTTTTGACTTGTAAGGGATAAGCTCTAAGTTAGATACCATTCAAACTGCAACTAGTTCCTTCTAAATCAGGGATTGAACATAGAAAAGGATTGACTTGTAATTCTCCATAATACATTTCTTCCAATGAAATTACAAAATGTTAACACTAGAAATGAGGAAGGTAACACAGAGAGTGAAACATATGATGCAAAAGAGTTGTTTCAAACAGGAAAGAGAACAACTCTCCGCAAAAAATAATTGAAACAACAACCAATGCCCATGTAGTCACTATGCCTTCAAATGAGACTTGTACCACTAATTCTCGTGTAGTCTCTAAACATCTATATGCTTTTAAAATACAGGACAACGAAAATTCACCCTTGGGAGATAAAGATCCCAAATGACATTGAATTAAACAATTGGAACTTTAGTTCGAAATGAAGTAAGACACCTACAAAGGAAAGACGCTCTTTGTTGGAGACAAGAGGTGTGCATACTTTGACATGTTGGGAAGCATATCTGACTGCTTAAATAACTCAAGACAGAAACAGGAAACGTTTGTTTTATAGGAGATATTTAGATGCACATATTAGACATGGGGAATAAAACCAGTCAAGTAACTCGAGACATGGACATATTGAACCAGATCTTGTGAAAACAAATGCATCCAAGGCTCGACATAGTTTCACAGATAGGCCTAAAAGCAACACAAGTTTCTTTGGGAAACACAAAATGATACAGACATATACCACCAACTTTCGGTAGAAAGTGCTCAAAGACATGTTCGTGTATTCAAATTTTATTGGGTTTATCATGTATGCTATGCTTTGTACAATACTTGACCTTAGTTTTGCAATTGGGCAGTAGATTTCAAAGTAACTTCAGTATGAATCCTAACAAGCAATTAAAAGGATACACAGATATATCCAAGGAACCAATCATTATAAATTATGTTATCAGGCTCATAACCTGAAAATTCCAGGATTCTCTAATGTAGACTTTGCAAGAGATCTTGATGATAGGAAGTCCACTTCTGGACATATTTTCCTACGTTGAAGAAGCATTGTTTCTAGGTTTAGTAAAAGACAAGGATGTGTTGCCCGGTGCACAATGGAAGCCAAATACATTGCTTGTAGTATAGCCACTACTTTTGCCATCTCGAAAGCTGCTTCGTTAAAGATTTGAAGCTAGAAATAACTGACAGATCAATTCAAATATTTTGTAACAATCAAGCTTGCAATTTCATTAATTAAAAGTGGAGCAATCAGCTTCCAGGGCAGACACATCGAATAGAGTTATGGAAACTGAGGGATAATGATTTCACCTCATTCTTATGGTTGATCCAAAGAATGAATAGATAAGATTTCTACACCGCATAGGTCTCCAAGATCAAAAGGCAATATTAAGTCTCATAATGATGACAAAACCCCTAACCCCAGAAACCCAAGTATTTATTCTATATAAACTAGCTATAGGGGTTCATTCTTAAAAAACATTTGATAACCTAATCTCTCTCTCTCTCTCTCTCGAAGATTACGGTTTTAGAAAAGATAAGAAACCCTAAGGAGTGGCATGCCAAGCCACAAAGCGTAGGCCATAGGTAGTAGCCTCATGCTCATGTGTTGAGCCTTGGTCTAGCTCATGTGTTGAGCCTTGGTCTAGTTAATCCCATATCATGTTTTCTGCTGGTATTTGCCTAGGCTCACTAAGTTTTGAGACAAATTCTTGAGGCTAGATCCCATACACCATTGGTGGAAGAGACTCGGTATAGGGTGTACAAAGTCCTTGGGGTAACCAGAGGCAAGGTATACAATATTTCCCTATTTCATGCTTTCTTGATTCCATTGCATCTTTTATGTAATTTTCAAATTCATGTTATGAATGTAATTTTTATTTTAATGGCAAGCAAGTGAAAGTCTTTGATATTTTATTTGGTTTATCTATTGTATTTGGACCATTGTTCGCAAAATCGAACCGGAATGGTTAACCGGACATAGGTTTGGAAGCGGTTTAACCGGCCTAACCAGTAAACCGGCCGATTCAACCGCTCTAACCGGGCAAGTCTCGGGCGGTCAAAAAAGTATTGAAAAAAAATAAAAATAATACAAAAAAAATCTACTAAACTATGAAAAGCTTATAAAGAATGATTAAAACAAATCACATTCAAAGGAAGTTGAAAATTAATGAAAAAAATGGATTTTAACCCATTTTATATTGGAAAAATATCCTTGTACCCCCTATCTGTTGTTTTCATATCTCAATAGACCCAAAGATTCAAAATATATCTCCTAACCCCCTGACTAACTTTACCCACTTTTAACTATTTTTTTAGCCCTAACAAATATAAAAAAGACATGCTCATTATAAACCCTTCCTCTCTTTACGTGATATATTCCCCCCCAAATTTCTCTCTCTCTAAAATTCACCCTCTATCTCTCTAACGGGAGAGAGAGAGACACGAGAGAAGAGAGTGGGAAAATAGGTAGAGAGAAATTTAGGGGAAAATCACGTAAAAAGAGAGAAAATATGATGTTTAAAAAGGATATGTCTTTTTTATATTTGTTTGAGGCAAAAAAATAGGTTTAAACGAGATAAAGTTAGCTTAAAGGGTTAAAAGATATAAAACTTAGAATTTTTATGACCCAAGATATGTTTTGAAACCTTAGGTCTATTGAGATATAAAACTTAAAAATGGAGGATATGGAGATATTTACCCTTTTATATTTTCTTAGGGATTTTTTTAATTTTTTTAAAAAAGATGGAAAAATATAAAAGTGAGTATTAATGACTAAAACAATTTTTAATCTTTACCATAATGTAAAGAATATTTAAAAATGCATTACAAATCAAATTCCTTATTTTTGAGAATTTATATACATTTTTTTGAATTTTTGTTTTAAAATACCGATGATCACCCTAACCGCCCAAAACTGGCCAGTTCCGATCTTACAAGGCAGTTAACGGTTAGATCGGGAGATTTTGCGAACAATGATTTGGACACTTGTGAGTGATTCAGGTGGCAATACATAAGAAAAGATGGAAAAATTTTAATCGTTATTGAGTTGCCCATCATATAGTCCACCTTTCAATTCCTTCACCCCACCCCCCTCCCCCCCGTGCCCCTTGGGGCAAAAGGGGGGGAAGGGTTTAGGGGGTTATTAAACCCCCAAATCAGTAAAAACAACCACTTTCATGGCTTTTTCTTCATCACATTGATTAAAACAAAAACAGAAATGGTAGAAATTTTTTTGATGTTGAGCTAGCCGCAGGAGCTAATGAAGAAAGGTCCAACATCAAAACCCAAAAGAGTAAAAGTTCCATCCATCGAGGAGGATGTGACCAAAGGAAGAAGGACCTATGGAGGACACTGAGTCTGATATTGGTGATCATGATGCACATAGAGACTGTTTGTGTGTTTGTGAATATGATGTCTTCTAAGTTCTATTGTTTTCTATATAGTTAGTTTCAAGTTTCAAGCTACTTTCTAATATCTTCTATGATCTATCAAGGGTTAATGGGTATAGAATCTCCGACAGTTGATACTTTTAGAGTTAATGAATAAATTAAATATTTACTATCACATAAACCACCTCCATATTTTTTTCCATCCATCAACTTATTTTTGAGATTTTTTAGAATTTTTCTATATTTATTGACCACATCGAGATGATGCACCTGCATCTGGAACGTATCCCGCATTTTAAAACACACACACACACACACACACACACACACACACATGCGCACGACACACATTCACACACAAACACACACTCAACACATGCGTGCGTACACACTCACAAACACCTCGTAAGAACCTATCCGCTTGTTTACATGCAAATTGCTCTCTTCTGTAAAAATATTACAGGCTCATTGTAATCTGTCGGAAACAATCCCTCTCTCAAGAAATCTGGAAGTATTTTGACCACAGCAAATGATCAAAAGCACAAATTTTCAATTAAACAGATGATATTAGAATCTATATAGATCAAAATGCATGTAAACTTATAAGATGAATAATATGAAAATGAAAAATTCAAATAAAATATCTTTTGGTTTCAACAAAGTTTAAGCAAATTCCTCTACACAGCAAAGTGAGTTCAAGACAAGGAAATGAATATGAACTCAAGTTTCTACCATGTTCTGAAGGATAAAATATCAAACATGCAACCACAGGCTAATCAATGAACTGAGCTTCTTGCAATTAATTTTACCTACGTTAACCATAAACAGTGAGTCATAAATAATGTCAGAGGCCAGTGCTTGAATACCTCGTATTCAGAATTAATATCCTCCTATTTCTCTTCTGCTCCACAGCTGAGCTCCTATTCAAATGTGGAAGACACACCAAAACAAAGAAAATTCACCAAACAAGTGAAGCAAAAGGAAAATAATTTGATAGTTACAAAGAAAGAATAATAACTTTGGAAGTCCTTTATAAATTATTCACAGACTCCAAACAACGCATCCTTTATAAAATTTAAACGAAAATTGTTAACAATATGATAAAGTTAAAGTTTAAGCATGCTGAGAATTGATAGAAATTAGCCATTTGAGATCAACTTCTCCCATCAAAAAGTAACTTCAAGGTAATACATCACATTCCATTAATAATTCAAGCTAAGTTTCTTAGGCATCCACTTGATTAGTTCAAGACAAAGGAAATGCAAGCAAGACACTCAATTTGTTTCGAAACTCAAAAATCCCCACATGTAAGTTATAAAAAAAAAAGAAGAGAAAAGGCTTAGAAATTTCATGGTTATTGATGCAGAAAATTAAGTCTTCAAAACTAAAGGTACAGCTATAGATAGATTTTTATCGCACAGACCAGAAAGGATGCCACCAAAATTTATACAAGTCATCTCCAAAACTGAAAAATTTCTAGCATTTTATCAATGGAATACCCAGCCCCAAGTAGCCTAACTTAAAAAAACCATTAAGAAAGCTTCCTAGAACCGCTATTAATCTCTTGCAAGCTTGTGTTATCTTGAAACTAAAAGTAGAGCAATAATAAGAAAGAGGATCCCTAATTAAGCTCAATCGATTCCTCCTTTTCAAAGCAATTCACACTCTGTTTGAAAAGGAATTCGCACTTTCTCAAAATCATCAAATTCCATAAGCCAGTCAGATTATTTGTCAAGAAGAAGCAATGGATAAATAGAATTCACGAAGAAGCTAATGAAGCCAGTTTTGATAAATAAGGGGATTCTAAGAAGCGAGGAGTTATGGTGCAGAGGAACAATGGTTTGCCACTGTAGAAGACTAATTAGTGAAAAAGGGCCTCACTCTCAGTAAAAATGGTCAGTCAAGTCATGGACAAGCGCCTGTTTTTGGTTACAGCGTCTGTAAAACCGTAGCATTGAACCACCATTGCTGAAAATCTGGTCTTCAAAGAGGGTACCATTTTATTGAAAAGCACACAGTACACAAGTACATAATCAGCAAATCGCCATTTTTAACATTTAAATCCGCGCCATTTTTTCATGAAAAAGTTTAAAACGCATTATATTGATCCTTTTAAAAAAAAGGGTTAAAAAAAACTCTGCTAGGGTTTATCCCCAAGTTGCAGATTAGACCTATGGGATTTTATTCATTTTTATTTTTGTTTTTTACCTTAAAGGTGGGCATGGGCTTTTCATCGCTTATGGCTGCAGATTTTAGTAGCTATTGTAGAAAATCACTGTGTCAAGTTCACATTTTTTGAATTAAGTTTTATTGTGTTTCTGATTTAGATTGTGTCAAGTTCACATTTTTTGAATTAAGTTTCATTGTGTTACTCATTTATTTGTCATTTTCTGAATTTAATTTTATTATACTTGTGATTTATTTTAGTAGATACCATGAAAATCACTGTCATGGCATAAGCTCTATGCTCAATGGGTTTTTCACTGTTGAAAGAGAAATTTGGCAATCTCATGACAAACTCACCTAATAAATTATAATAAAGAAGAATAAAACCAAAGAGAAACTTGATCAAAATCCCCAAATTTGGCCGCATTTTCATCCAATGTTGACAAAATTATACTAAAACTCATCCATGGCTCAAAGAACTCACAGATTAGTGATCAACGAACATCCAGATTATCACAATTTATCCAAAATCTCAAACCCCTACACAAATTAGAACAAAAGCTTAAAGAAAATCCAGATTAGGAATCCCAAACCTAGTTCAAGACAGAAACTCGGTTAGGTTTCGCCTCCACCATCTTCTTCCTCATCTTCTCCAGAGATATCACAGCTTGATCAATGACGTTTCTGACCATAGGAAAGCTTTTCCGTCTTGAGCTCTATGTGTAACATGCTCTCTCTGTCTTAGTTGTTCTTATGGACTTGCGAAAATTTTCTTCTGATTGTTCCCCTGTTCCTGCTCTTCTGCATTTTGCTTCTCTCTCTCTTGTTTTGGCTGCCCTTTGAAAATGAAACATTGTGCTTAGCATAACCTAAGGCCCAAATTTGTATTTCAGATTAAATCTTAGGTTTGAATTTTTGCTAACACATGATAACCAATATAAAGTTAATTTTTGCCAATGAGGGGACATCAAAATTCAGTCACCTTACGGGTGTGGTTTCTTAAACAATCCAATTAAGGCGCACCTCGAAAATTTATCCTAACATATAATTTTGATGTAAAAAATAATTAGGATTATCTTAAAATCTATTTTCATCTCTAATTATACAATTTCAAACTCTAAAATAGTTAAAATCAAGTAGATTTATAACCATACGAATATCTTGAAAATGGACGGTTTGGATAATGTGCTGCAAGATGCACTATTTATGGGACTCAAAGTTTTTTTGTTTTTTTTTTTTGTATTCATACATCTCGGTGTCGTGATCAGTTAAAGGGTTTCTCAACATTAAAACAATCTGTTTTATAGATTTTTAATGAACATCTTTAATTCTACATTTTAAGGTTGCAACCTTATATAAACTTTTTTTTTTTATTTAATTATGTTAGTTTGGTAAAAATAATTATGGATGCATTATTTCTTGATGCCTTTGGCCTTATTTTTTTAAAAAAAAAAAATGAAAAATTTTAATGTATCCAATTTTTTAACCTAATTTGATATATTCACGATATTTTTACGTACAACATTTTTTTCAATAGTATTTTCACCTCAAATTTTTGAGCAAAAACTGATTTTATTTCCTTTTTTTTAAAAAAATTGATTTAAGTTCGATTGTGTGGTCAGCCCTACTTGCTAACTATGTACGAGTATGAGTGATGTGGTCTATGGTGCACATCAGTGTAAAGTATAATTAGATTGTTTTGAGCCAGAGGCATGCACAATCATCTCCGGCCTTGGACCATGGGAAAACCTATTCTCACTCCAGACTACGCAAGATTAGTGGTCGTGCGAGTCATCACTCTCCAATCTATAGTTCTTGCAGTGGGTGAGTGTTTAGGGCGGGTTTGATTTGTATGTATTTTTTTTTTTTTGTAAAAATAGTTTTATATAAAAGAACTTCCGGTATGGAATTACTTTAAAACCAATTGGTCCATTCCAATGGTAAAGGTTTTCTACAGTCCGAATAAGACAAAATAGATAAGTAAAATATAAATTTGTGCACTTCTTTACACATTTTACAAATGGACCTCTTAAAAATTTATTTTTTTAGATGGATTTTTAGACTCAAATTTTAAGGATATATAATATGGACATCATGAATATGAACAAATAAATAATTTTTATTTAAATTAAAAATTTATAAATAAAATATTTGGACAGTTAGTTTCAACTGTTTTTAAATTGACCACCAATTTGCATTTATCTTTAAAATAAATGCTTTATACCTTGGATACGTAAATGTAGAAATGCGACCCCAAACTCATGGAACAATTTTTCTTTACAAATTTCTGTATCCCCATCCTTCTCATTGCTTGCTAAAGGGCCATGCCGGCCATTGAGCCGCACCAAGTTGTGTAGAAGCCATAGGCGATACTAGCAACAACAGGTTGCTGGGTTTGAGGATAAACTCGGGTCGGTTGCTCTTGGGACACATAAGTTCGGACTATGGAACCAGCATAAGGGAGTTCGTTAAGTTGGGTTGGCTTGTGAACTACCTTTTTGCCGCGAGGGCCCGCAACCCACTAGGGATTCCCCAACCAAACCCGGGAACCTAGGTTGTGAAAGAAGCGTTTGCGTCCCCTTTATTTGCCGGAGGATGGCCTTGACCACCAGATTGACACTTGCAGGCGGATGGATGGTGCTTGATTTGCCTTTGACATTAAGTATTATCAAGGGGGTGGTAGGTTGACCCACCTTATGATGGCGAGAAGCTTGACTTATCTCTTCATAGTTTTTTTTTAATTAATTAGGGTCAGCTATATAAATCTTGGACCGCCATTCTATTCTAGATATTCTAATCTTGGTTGACAACTTTTTATTTATCTCCTCGAGAATCGCCAAAGCATTAAAATGTACCTGGCTTAGATTAGACTGTTGCACATCCTCGACGACCTATATGTCGACTTTAGTTTGGCCACGGCAGCAAGACTGATGCTTGTGACCCAAAATTTCTGGAACATCATACTGAAAGAAGGACCCATGTGATCTTGGGGTATATATATATATATTCTTTTCATCCATTTTTCTTTCGAAAAATATCACTTACAAGCTGTCTTTTTCCAAAAATTCTTATAAGAGAAAATAAAAGTAAAACCAACAAATCCAATATCTTAAAACCTTGATACCATTAAACTAATTTTCTTTAAACAAAGAAACTAATCAATACTTCTCATGCTTGGGAATCTAAAGACAATAATTGAAAAGGCAAGAATTGAACAGAAGAATACCGTCGATTATCCTGGACTTATTACACCCCACACCGAGTCACCACCATCCGATGACGCAGGATCAACGAGCAACTTAATCGCAAAGGGAAAGCAAGTTTTAAGGCAAACCTCTAATTGAATCAGGAAATCCTCTGGATCACAAAATTCAAACTTAGGTACAAACCCATAAAACCTAGTTCAAGCAAACCGATAAAACCTAGTTTAGGCAAGATAGCATGCACTTGCTAGTACCCAACCCTTAGGTTCATCAAAGCAAGATGAGGGGGTCGTGCCCCTTAGGTCAACATAGAGACAGACATAGTCCAAAAGGTGGGGCTTGTCCCTTTGTATGATCTAGAGAGAGAAAAAAACTTCTAGGGTTAGGACGTGTCACCTATTGCTATCAAAGAGAGAGAAATATTTAGAAATATTTAGATAGAAGAGAGAAATTGATGTCTTAAATTGTAGGTAAGAAGTCCTCTTTTTATAGTCCAAAAACTAGGATAAGGGTTTCTTTAGAATTTCCATGGCTTGCCTCTTCTAGTAGATTGAATATGAACCGTTAACCATGGGTGCATTGTGGAGTGAGAGAGTTGATTCCTTCATTTCATAAATGGGTCATCAACATCAACATGCTATAGGTGCTAAAACCTGTATCCCCTTTTCTTTTGACATTATTCTAAATAAGATAACATTAATCATACTATTGTCCTTTATCCAAAATATATATTAAATAAGATAATATTAATCATAGTGCTTTATCCAAAATATGCATAACCCTTATCAAGTTTTATAAAAGATTCATTCAAATCTTTTTCAATATAAAACATATATCCAAATCTCATAATAACTTGGCCTCTTATCAACTTAACCCTAAACTAGGAAAACCCCCTAAAAGTGAGGTGTGCCACCCATGGGAATAGAAAACCCCTAAATTGGGGCGTGCTACCCATGTGGAGGCTTTGTTGGTCCCCACCAATTTAAGCCATGATAGACCCATGTGCATAATGGGCTCCAACGCTATTTTTAAATATTTTAAAAAAATAATAAAAATATTTTAGAATTAAGTTGAATATTTAAAACATTAAAAAAATCAATATCTCTATTTTTTATAAATCCAAATTTTATAAATAAAATATCCAGAGATCTAGAAAAGTTCAAATAATAATTCTAAAACGAAAAAGTTTATATTAGGTTGCAACCATAAAATGTAGAATTACAGATGCACCTCAAAAATCCATTGAAAAATGTTGTTTTAATGTCGAAAAAACCCTCTAATTGATCATCTTGACATCGAGATGTATGAATATGAAAAACAAAAAGATTTTGAGTCCCACAAATAGTGCATCTTGCAACACATATCTAGACCGTCAATTTTCGAGATTTTCATATATTTTTAGATCTACTCGATTTTAACCATTTTTGAAGTTTAAAATTTTGTAATTAGATATAAAAATAGATTTTCAGATAATCCTAAGAATTTGTTACACCAAATTACACGTCATGATAAAATTTGGAGGTGCACCTTAATTGGATTGATTATAGTTGCAACCTTATAGAATCCGCACCCTTTTAAAATCATATCATCATAAAATAAACACAATTAAATTAATTAGATGATATAAAGATCCATATGGTTTAGAAATAAATATTTTGGGGCACTCCACCTTCAACCTTAGACTACAGCCCACATTTGCTTTATCAACCGACCCAGTATTTTTCATGACCCATATTCCTTACAGGGGCTCATTAGTGGGTCACCAAAGTCTAGTTTATGACCCACGGGGTCGTAATCCCAGTTTGTAGATTTCAGGTTCTCCTTTAGAGATATGCCAATGTCACCTAGACCTAATGCAACTACAGCTCATCGGTGCATAGTGATATATCTCACACATGTATAAGTTTCACTCTAAAAGGTAGTTCACTTTCTCGAAATGGCTATCATTATGTACGTCTTGTGATGGTACATAGATGAAGCTTTGGCCTCCGTCTTTAGAGGCCACCATCACATACAAGGGTTACACAGTCTTTTGGCTCACTCATCCGGATATACTCCGACCTCATTAAGAGATGACCTATTAGAACCCTTATCGAATAGTTTTGCATGCCAAGGTAACATAAGTTTTTTCCAACTAATTGGTCCCGTCAGGTACAATTCGGTATAAGCAAATGTTATTTATTTAATATGATCCACGAGGGACCATACTCCTACTGAATTTATATTTCACTATATCAAATATTTCATTACAAACGCTAATAACTCTTTTAATGGCCACTCTCACCCGACACATATGCTCATTTAGGATATTGCAGTGCAAGGTCGACAATCATAGACTTCATAATATGCCAGCTAGGGTCCTTTTTATGTGGACTTGAGAAACCTGGCTAGAATGGACTTCATTGTCCAAGGGGCATCAGAAATGTACGTTACAGATGTGGAGCAAGAGGTGATGCAATTGGGTTAGGCTCGGACGATGCCCTTGATTATTAATCGGATTTAGATGACATGGTTTTCGTGTAATGAAGAAGCATCACAGCCACACCACACAAAAAGGCTTAAGAAGTTTCACCGTGTCTTTTAGTTTCAATGGCAGGCTTTGGGATCTACTGTACACCAGTGAGAGTCTGACTACATAAACCCTTATAGCAACCCTGCACATTTTCGGTACGGTGCT